AACGCGCATCGTATGTTCGTCTCGATATTCGTGAGACCTTTTGCACTTGTCACCAAATTTGCAGGTTTCTTTGACAAAGAAAGGGCATAAATGAAGACCTAAACACCCCCTATCAGTACATCCACCTTTATCCCCCGCTTGAGGACAGAACTCGAGAGGAACGTCCAACCTCAGCATTACTTTCGATTTCGTTCGCCTCGTCTGGAATAGTTGTGGGAACTTATTGACAAAATCTTGCGCCCCAAAATCTGACACAACTTTACGGTTACCTCGGGAAAGTTGTAAAACTACATGTGCGAGATCTATTTCCCCACGATTTTTCAATAAAATTTGAATTAACTCTTCCAAGCTTTCCACCACCCTGGACGATACTGAGGACATATTGTGTTTTGAAATTAATGAAATTTCTCACGTAGTATTACTTCCGGAATTTTTGAGCCCACGAGCTTGTTGCATCATAACGAGTTTTCTTTTTGTTGTGTGTAATCGACATATTGTATCCTTAAGCCCAAGCACTCTTGCTGATTTCTAATCTCGGACTGGTCATGGGGGAATCTGAGCGGAAAAAACTTATCACACTGGCCAATCAAACAGTTTCAACACAAGACGAGTCAGCAACTGCATTAGTGTTACATAATCCAGCTTTCTAGCCCTTTACACCCTCAGAAATATAAGCATCTGATTTCCCATGACAAAATCACCCCTGAGAATAAGGTTAATGATTGTGAACTCAAGAAACTTTTGATTGTTAGTCAAATTCTCCTTGAGAGAATTATAAGAAGGGATATAGAACAGTAGAGGAGAGCTTGCCAACCAATGTTCAGAGGCAAAGGGTTAAAATAACTTCACCTAAATACCAGTATAGACTGTATAATAATAACTGTCGAATTCAATGAAGAAAAAGAGCCATTTGCTCACGGTGGGTTTCACAATGCATACAAAGCAACCACAAAGCACCCACAGTTCAAGGGTACTACCTGGGTCATTATAAGATACCTTCCTGATGCTGTGAAGGGAATAAATGACAATGGGCAAACTGTCCAACAACACACCCAAAAGGTGGTTCAGATGCATCTTCTTGCAAGGAATTTTGCTCACCAGTTGGAACAAAAAATCATTGAAAAACATGCTATTGATGCATTTGGAGAGGTCGTAAGGTATAGAAAGATCTACGACGGTAAAGATGATAAAGGAGAATTTGTGACTGTGGAGGAGTTTATTGATGGACAGTTTACCAAGTACTTAAACAATACTGGTGATTGTTGTGTCGAGGAAACAGATGTTATGGGTCAGAAGGCTCAATGTCTAACCCATTTTTCTTATGAAAAGTCAGACAAAAAACTCATGCTGCTAGACATACAAGGACATGGGTATGAATTATTCGACCCAGAAATTGCTTCTCATGAACTTTTTGATGGTAGTGCATTCTGGGCTTTTTTTTTCAGGTCTGATTTTCACTATTGCTCAAATAGTGCTTTACTGCGAAGGATCGTTCTCATATACGTCTCATAACCGCAGTTCACACATATGTTTCATATGTTTGTTGTTGTTTGATTTATCATCTACGGGTTTATGTCGAATTAATTTGATGGCCTGCTCCCAGTTGGCTTGTTAGCTCAATTGGTAGAGCGCTGCACTAGTATCGCAGAGGTCAGTGGTTCGAATCCCGTACAGGCCTGAAATTTTTTTTTCAGGTCTGATTTTCACTATTGCTCAAATAGTGCTTTACTGCGAAGGATCGTGCACATATACGTTTCATAACCGCAGTTCATACATATGTTTCATATGTTTGTTGTTGTTTGATTTATCATCTACGGGTTTATGTCGAATTAATTTGATGGCCTGCTCCCAGTTGGCTTGTTAGCTCAATTGGTAGAGCGCTGCACTAGTATCGCAGAGGTCAGTGGTTCGAATCCCGTACAGGCCTGAAATTTTTTTTTCAGGTCTGATTTTCACTATTGCTCAAATAGTGCTTTACTGCGAAGGATCGTGCACATATACGTTTCATAACCGCAGTTCATACATATGTTTCATATGTTTGTTGTTGTTTGATTTATCATCTACGGGTTTATGTCGAATTAATTTGATGGCCTGCTCCCAGTTGGCTTGTTAGCTCAATTGGTAGAGCGCTGCACTAGTATCGCAGAGGTCAGTGGTTCGAATCCCGTACAGGCCTGAAATTTTTTTTTCAGGTCTGATTTTCACTATTGCTCAAATAGTGCTTTACTGCGAAGGATCGTGCACATATACGTTTCATAACCGCAGTTCATACATATGTTTCATATGTTTGTTGTTGTTAAACTTTTGATTGTTAGTCAAATTCTCCTTGAGAGAATTATAGGAAGGGATATAGAACAGTAGAGGAGAGTTTGCCAACCAATGTTCAGAGGTAAAGGGTTAAAATAACTTCACCTAAATACCAGTATAGACGCAGTCAGTAATTAAAACAAATAAGGTATAAAAGGGGTCATAGGTCTCGCTTTCTCTGATGTACAACTCTGAAGCCTCCAGAAGAAAAACGAAGAGAAAGTGACCTGTCTGTTGAGCTCTCCCTCATGCTTAAATCCAAAATGGTTTTGGTGGAACAAAGGTTTCCATGCACAGAATCATCAGTCTCATGAGAAAAGTCACATACATAAGTAACAGCATAATGGGAAGGTCGGCTTGAGTGGTGACTGAAACAAACAAGTCTAGAAGTAGTTTGGAGTTGTGTAGTATGCTAGAGAAAAAATTACCTGTTAATGATGGAAAAAGAATAAGCTAGCTCATAAACACTATTGAGAAAGAACCATATGCACAGTTTAAAAGTGTTTTATATGCATTTTTTGGTTAACGTAGTTCTAGGCAGTACTGTACATGTAGGTAAGGGGTGTCAGCTGATAAGGAGAATAAACTATTAGGGTTTCAGTGGAAATTTTCAGGTTTAAAAAATTTACTTTATTTACAAAAATTTAACCTAAGAAGCAATCACTTACACAATTGTACAACTAAAAAACAAACAACCCAACAAAAAAAATCAAAATTTTCACACACACTCTAAGAAACAAAGCAATGGTCTATTGCATCAATGAAATTTAAAGGTTTATTCTCCACTTTTCTAGTTTGTGGCTGAATATGAGACAAGTCAAAAGAATGTTACTTATTCCACTGACTTAAGGAATATGCAAGACAACTACACTTTGTCACTTCCACACACTATGCTAGTACAACATGGATGACATTTTTACTGCATCCTAATACATTTCTTCTGAAGGTTCCCCTTGTTTATCGGCAGCTTTTGTAAGAAGATACAGAGGCCTCTGGAACCCTAAGAAAGGAAAAGAAACATGCAACATGTTTTATTGCATTCAGATATAAAAAAAAGCATCACAGCCCCCTTCCATAGGATTATCCATCTATCACATGTTAACCTCACTTTTTTTTCTAATACTTTGCTAGAACCAATTTTCACTCCTTGGTAAGGAAAGGTATCAAGAGTCAAAGGTGCCTTGCTCAAGAAAAAATTAATGCTAGCATATTGCCCATCACATCTGTATCTCCTACACCTTGCACACACCATTGTAGTACATAGATAGCTTAGCCAACTACAGAAAGAGAGTTCCTCACACTCAGCACTCAATATAGCATAAAAAAAAATTTTCAAAAAGTAACAACTTCAATCTAAGTGGCTCATAACCCTCATTGGTTATTCCACTCTTGGAGCAGTTTATGCACCAAGGAGTTTGTTCTCTCCTTTGGCATGCAAAGCTAGTCTACAGCAGGTTATACCCCAGCTTTTCATCTGGCTTCCCTGATAATTGATTGGTACCCAATTTCACTCCTGGGTAGAGAGAGGCTACGCAAGAGGAATTGCGATGGGAGGATATATATCTTATTAAACGTTTTGTTGTGTAGTATCGCCGAGTATTTTTACGAGTTGTGCCGTATTTTGACAAGCTCGTAAGGCAAGTCAAAATACAAATAAAGAGTAAAAATACTCAGCGATACTACACAACAAAACGTCTAATAAGTTATTTATTATCCAACAAGCCAAACTGTTATTTCAGTGTGGGTGAATTTCGCAGATATTTATTTACGGGGAGTGCGTGACAGAAGTATGTGAAGCCGAACGGAATTGGCATCTTAATATCGTGCTGCTGTTTCTATTTTCTTCAATAAATAAATAAATTTCCTGGTCGTCTAGCTGTTTTTCTTTGTTCGATCCATCTAATAAACTTGAATCTATATTTGCCAGCCATTCTGACTCTTTGTCATCGGAAATATGATTCAAATTGTCCGCCATTTGTTTTTTTCGTAATTACAATCCAATTCTTTGCTTGCGCGATACGAGAAAACCTCTTTAACCGGTACTCTAGAGTACAAATACTGCGTGATATTTGTACTCATCTATGGCGTTANGTTCATTTCATGGGATTCAGAAGAGTCCATTATCTAAAACCTTGGATGATCAATGGTGCATATAGATCCTACTCACCAGAGGCTTTGTGTTGTGGAATCTCAAGAACTTCAAAAGTAGCAAATCCCACCATGTCTGAGAGAAGGTAGTCAATAAAGTGTTCAGGGCGAAAGCGAATGGCATCATAATTTGCACGGATCTTTTCCTGGAAAAAATGGGACAAAATGTATTATGTTGTTGATTATAAATGTAAAATAATTTCCAGCAAAAGATGCAATGGTTTATTTCTTCATTGTGATAATATAAAAAAAATATGTAATTATAATAAAAAAGAATTAGATAAAAGACTTCAGGGTGGATCTGGACGGTTAATTTAAATTTCTCTGAAAGGAAAAAAATTCAAGAGTGAAATTAGTTTCTTAAAGCAATGCTGTTTTAGAAGTTGCTAATAATACTGAATTGAGGTTACTTTTGTCTTGACTGATAAAGAAAAACTCAAGTTTTTAGACCGATAGACCTACATAATTTGTTGCATTCACACCCTATATAGGAAAAAAGCAACTACCTGATAGTAAATTACAGGGTTCTTACTAGGCCCTAGCCACTGGCGAGATTCAGAGGACAAAAAGCTGCAATTGCTACCTGGATTTTAGGCTGACGATTGCTTGGCACAACTAAATGGGTACTTTTGAGGTTACGCACTGACAATCATTCAAGTTTTGAACTACCTCACTAGAAATTTCAGCAGACTCTAATTTCTGAGCAACAACCTTAAAATAATCACTTACTGTCAAATTTTTCTTCTTTTTGTACGAGGAGAATGGCTGAGGCTCGAGGACAAGTCTTCCACCAGGACGTAGATTGAGGAATATTCTCTTAAACATAAGTTTGAGTCCCTCATCTCCCCAGTTTAAATGGACCCACTTCGTCACACTCAGACACAAAATCACATCATACATTGGCTTCTGTTTGGAAAGCACTTCACCACTGCAAGGAACATAGTTCTCCTACAAATTTCAAAAGACAATTTCAGTTAACTTTTGAAAAAGGAAAACAAATCAAAAGGTTCAGTTGTGAGAGATTTGTACAGTAGTAACTGTAGTCTTCCACTTTTGATAATCATTAAAAAGCTTAGCAAGTGCACACATCCCAAACAAAATTGTACAATATCTACAAAAACCATTCAAAGTTAATCATGCAATGCTGGTTATACCTTTTCAGCCGAGAACTCTTGCTATTGCGCTTTCGGCATGCCCCCATTTTTAAAAAATCATTAAAAAAGGAAAAACCCTTCAATTCTAGTCTAATCCACTTTCCAAAAACATTACAAAATTTTCAGAGATGCACTGAAACTTGTGAACTACCAGCATTATTATAAGTAGTATATTATTACCTGTTTGAAGAGGACATTATGTGGAAATGACAGATTTTCTTCATTGCCCTGAACTATAGGTGCAGCCAAAGGTCCACTGGTAACAGAGAATGACACTGGAAAATTTTTTCCTTTTCTTGACATTCCAGGAACGGACACTTGATTTTGTACATAATACCGCAAATTGTTCCTTGCTGCTTTAATCAGGGCAGTATCAATGTCCATTCCCAGGATAACATGTGGGTTGAAGTCCCGTGCAATTGTTAATGTGACATGACCCACATTACAACCCAAGTCTAAAACATCCTTTCCTTCAAACCATTCCTTTTTAAAGCATTTCAGTCTTAGATCTTGGCTGGAATTTGGGTTTCTGTAACCATAATACCTGTTGTAGTTACCATAAATAAAAAGTTTTTCCTTTTTTTCATGTGCCTTTGATAAGCTTTGTTTATCTCTCCTGGAGTCTTTACCTTTATGTGATGCATGAGGTTTTCCTATTTCTTTGGATTTCTCAAGGACACTTTTGGGTTGGGTTTCTAAAGGAGACTGTTCCACGTCAGTGATGTTAGCATCTTTATTATCAACTTCTTCTGAAGTCTGCTTCGTAATGTAGCAAGCTTTCTTACGGGATGGTTCAAAGTCTTCATCTGTGGACAGATCATTGGCTTGTTTTGATTGTATACTGCACTGGTCAGTGCAGTTTTTGCCTAATTTAACATCAATTTTGTCACAAGAAACACCAGTGTTTACAAGACTCTTCTTTTGCCTCTTCTGCTGGCTGACAACACCTGAATACTCTTTTGACCCAATTTCATTTTCCCTGTCTTGATGATTATGCCCTCGATTCTTTTTCTTGCGCTTTTTTGGTGTTGTGTGAGACACATTGTTTTCAGGTTCTGGAAGACAACGTTTTAGATTGAGAGGGTCTGTCTTGTCATGTGGTTCTAAAACCTCAACTGGGGATGCACTGTGAATTGACAATGGAGAGGCCTGTGGGGTGACAACTGATGGATCTCGATCTATCAAACTGCTTAAGTTCAAGGGATCTGCACTATTCCCTCCAAAATGAAATCTCACTGCTCGGCTCTTCTGAGTCTTTCTCCAAGCTTTTCCATGATTAGGTCCCAGATCTCCTTTCTGTTTGCTCTGCTTCACGGGACCAAACGAGCGAAAATCTTTCAAATTTGCTCTAAAACGGGGAGAAATTCCCTTCGTCACGTATTTCTGATTTCCAACGGGGCTTGTAAATTTCCGCTTCACTGGACTTTGCTGCTCCTTTGATTTCGAAGCCATGTGAGCTGTGTTTGCAGCAAAGCTGTTTGATAATGAAATATTAATAAGGCGAGAGGGTTTCAGCTTTTACATCCCACATCAACACACTCGCATCACGAGTAGAATACGACGACTATTCCCGAGCCTCAGAATAAAATCCACAAGGAAATATCCTTGTTATCAGCGAAAATTATTCCTCTCCTCTTTTGCAGTGGACCAAGACTGTTGTGTGTTCCTTATATTGAATTCCTCAAACTTGCTTGCAAGAAAATGAAGTGTCAATTAATTGGGGCCTCGCCTTCGCGCAGAGTTTTTAAATCTCGAAATCACCTTGAAACGCTTCAAAGTTCGTTCTTGGCTTTAAAGGACGCTCCTTTTCTCAAGCAAGTAGATAAAATCGTCAAATAATCGTTAATGCTTCCATTTCCAGGGAACCTTAAAATAATCAACCGTACAATATAACCTTCGCCAGGCACCAGACGCCCATTCGCATTCTCCGAGCAATCGACTGCAACGTGTTTTCATCGTTCTGGTGATGACTACTGCGCATGTGCACGGATCAAGTCACAATTTGTTTCCGGTATTTGAATGCCGTATTGGCTGGGAGAGATTCTGCTGACTAATCAGGGACGGTCTGGTTACGCGAGATTTCGCGGGAGCACTCGTGGTCAAACTCAATGGTATATTGTTATATTTTGTTGAGAGGAAATGCGAAGATCACTTTAGAGATATCGGTAAGCGAACATTTTATGACTACATTACGACAATCTACAGTTCCTTACACAGAATCTGAAACTGTAATTCCCGCGGCTGAGTTGATTTTATTAGGATACTGGCAGCTGCATGCGGGCGCCTTACTCATTGTTCCAGAAAACATCTTTGGACGATTAAGGAAAATATCTAAGATCGGATTTCGTTTAAATGCGAATTGTACAATTGCATCTGGTGAAAAACATTTGAAAAGCTCCATTGTCAACTAATGTTATAAACTGTCGATCCCTCACTTCCTTTTGATTGCCAGCTCTTTGTACGTTGACTTAATAATTCATAACGAAGAAAAATGAGATTCTTATGGATAGAACAACCTCTTTGCGAGTTTCTCAATTTCCGTAATCATTTTGAGTAGAAGAAAAAATGTTCATTCTTTCACAATCAGTGCACTGTGCCAAGGGCGCACAAAATTATGGAGTTTGATCTTTGTTATTGTGATATTAAAATTATGTAACCGTTAAATGTTTTTCCCCCTTTTCTGTCCCCAAATATTACCCTTTATGAATGTTCGTTACTGGGGGAACACTTGTAGGGAAGCTCCACGTAAAGTTTTCTCTTGACACCAAATTATTTGGCTACCACCATCTCCACATTTCCCTCAAGCATGCTGCACTTGATGCAAATTGATGGAAAAAAAGATAGCGAAACATTTTTATCAGCTGTTTAGTTGTCTGTTACAGTTCAACAGTAGAGGGTGATAAAGGGTTTAAACGTGAGGTGTGATTAAGCCCAAAATTAATATGTGATGCTTTAATTTTATAGAAAGGCAAGGTAAGGTGACTGAGTGGAAGTTTATCCATTTGCCATTTCATCCATTTGTGATGGATGAAATGGCACCAGTGAAATGCTGTTTGAAACACATGTGACATGTTAATTATTCTAACATTTATGCGTGAAACAGGATTAGGACCCACTCCCTCTTTGCCACCCTCTCACTAGGGTACCATTTTGAAATCAGTATACACAAAAGACACTTTTCACTAAGGTCATCCATTGGCTGTATACTCCCAACATAGAGTAATGCTTGCCTTCTCTTAAAGTTATGACTTTAGGTTGTAGAATCTTGGTTCTGGATGGAAGCACTCTGGAAGATCAAAGCTACACATGGAGTTTTTGAGTGCAACATGCTAATATCTTTTAGTTCATTTTCCCTGGAAAGAACTTTAATCTGTTAGATGTTCTCTCATCTTAACCAAGCTGACTCCAACATGGCTCCAATTATTGGACAAACAAAGAAAATTCATGATGGTAGCTCACACTCCCCTTTGTCACCAAGACAGCAGAGAACATTTACATTTGAGCTAAAGGAGACATTTGTGCGACAAACTGTAATGATGTCACTTTGGTACCTTTTTAGTTTTGGTTCAATTATATCAAACAAGTACATCTTGTCAACGTTAGATGGTGATGCTAGCCTGCTTGGGGAGACCCAAATGGTGTGTTCTGTGGTTTTTGGAGCACTGAAGATGTATCTGCCCTGTTGCTTGTTCCATCGGACTTCAGGGCATCACCAAGATGGATCTAAATTTCATTTTTTTCGTAACATGGCCATTTTAGGTTGGATGAGGTGAGAGTATTTTCATTACTTTTACAACATGATAAACTTGACTTTTTCAAACTAGACCTATTTGGAATTTCCTTTGGTCCAGTTAAATTTTTATAATCCATGCACGACAAATTACAAATTGGAATGGGTTGAAATCACTTACAAATGAAATTAATTTGATACCTGCAGGTGAGCTTGGCCTGGAAAATGTAAAATTTTTGTCAGAATACTGAGTGACTTGTATCATTCTCTACTTTGAATGCTTTGTAAATTAAAGGCTGCTGGTTTAGATGACACTCTGATCATATCCTTTTCAGACTAAAGATAAGTTTTTTTTTAATAGAAAGTTGATCAGTAATATGTACAACCCAGTTTTTTTTTCATTGCTTTTTAGCAATCTAAACAGGCAGAATCCAAACTAAACTTTCTCTAGGAAGGCACTACATGGTGACCAGGTAGACATCATTGTTTCAATTGCCAGATGGAAAAATTTTCTAAAAAGAAATTCTGATTTCTAGAAAAAAAATTTCGCCTTGCAGCCAAACATGAAGTTTTTGCAAGACTCTTTTAACCGTATCCCATATGTGAATGGTCACCCATTAGGTGTATAAAAGCACAATCAACAATGATACATGTTTATGGTTTACTCAAAGCATAAAATTTACTGCACATTTAGTAAATCACTTGATGGTTATTACATTGATCTTCACACTGATGGCGATCACATTGGTGACGAGCTGGCCACAATTGTGGACTCAGATGTGGCCATTCTTTGAGACTTAAGATTTTTTTTTTGTCTCAGTATTGGAACATTGTATCCTCTGATTGGTCAATCAATTATTTCTTTGTTCTTTAATGCTCTAACTCCCAAGATATGATTTTTAATTCTCCCCTCTAGCTCAGTGTTCCAGTTAATTTTTTTGGCAAGGGTTCATGTAATTTTTCAAGGGGTCGCACAAAGTAGGTCTACCTGACCAACCGCAGCAGCAGCACTATGCAAAGCTAAGGGGTGGGTTGGGGGGGGGGGTTGTTGGGTAAACAGATAAAGGATTGACTTGAAAGTTGAAAGGTATCGCTTGTTTAATTCATGAAAAGTATCGTAAAACGACAATAATTATTATCAAGCTTCGATGGTTAGTCAGGCATGACTTCAGAAAATGACCTTATACACTACGGTCAGACAAAAACAAAAACTTTTAAATTGGCTTTTTACAGACCTGATTTCTGGCAGATTATTTACAGTAGTTCTAAGGATTAGACAACAAATTCTCTCCAAAATTTTCATTGATAGTAGGCCTGTTGGGTCCGGCTGCTGTTCATGTATCCTTATGGAATCTTGTTTACAAAGAAATGAAATTCGATCGGGGAAGAAATTGATCAC